AAATATAGCCCTCCACCTGCTTGTTCATAGTCTCGTTGAAGAACCTTCATCGACCGCTAACGGAACTCACTCGTCCCGCTCTGCCCTGCATTGGGCCTCATTTTTCGGGCCCTAACAGGTGCCTCAGCGGCTAGTCGTCTAGGCAGACAGTATTGCCAGAAAAGTCGAGGAAGCATGATGCTATTTTTGCCGGCAATACTATCAATTCATAGTCATTCAAGTTGTATTTCTGTACAAGTTCCATAGCTCAGGCTATAAGAATTGGCGTTCTGATGGTCACACGCCTACCTCCTACTTCGTTGAGCCAATGGCCTCATTTCTGAATCCCATATAAGGAGAAACTGGTCTATACGTCACACAAAAAGGTGATAAAACTGCCATTATGGATGGAATGTGTGTTCTTGAGGGTAATTCAGGTGCATATAGAGAGGAAAAATATATATTTTATTCTAAATAATCTGCCCATTAATGGGCGGCATTAGTAGATTTGCGCATGTTCATTAAAGGTAAAGGCAGACGCAATATGAAGGTCGTACTTCTAAGTAGGGAAAAGGAAGGCTGTTCCATCACGGGAATCACTCTTTCCTTCATCTGAGCTTTGGAATTCGAACAGAAGTCCGAGGTCAGAGATGAAATCGGCCATAATACTGTAACAGTTATAACTGGTAGAAGTACATCAAAACCCAGTAAGATCAGTCTAGAGGTGACTACGTGGGACTTTGCAGTCCGGCAGAGGATCGACATATCGATCAATTACGTCCTTATTTGAGGCCCAGTCGTCGATCAATCCGCAGGTTTTCCTGCTTCTGCTATGTGCGATAATTTTCGCAGTTGCGATGTTATATTCGTTATCCATTTTTCTAGGTGTATGTAGCCAGTATAGCCAGTTTATTTTCAGATGTGCCCGATCCGAGCAAACTTGCAGACTGAAAGGTATGGACTGCAGTACTCTACATTCGATGGACGATGGACTCTCTGTGCAAGTTCGATCAACAAGGAAGTGGTTTCGGCAATACTACAGCCTTCTTCCCCATCCCTGCTTGTACAAACACCTGGAATGCAAACAATCGCCTCAAGTCGTACCTCGAGCATGTAGATAGCCAACGTCGAGAATTCGCCGACAACCTTCAGAATATCCTCACGTGACGTGGAATTAGAAATCTGACCCAAACCCTGCGCCAACTTGGGCAGGTAGTTAATAAGAGCAACTTGAGAATCCGCGGGCATGTCACGTGAGCACTTTGCGGTCAGAGTTGCCAGAGAGGCTGTCTGGACAAGCGATTCTGCATCCGTGACAGGGAGAGAGACTACGGCGGAGACTAATGGCGCCACGACCTGCAAGCAAAAGAAAACAGAACGCATTAATACTGACAGGAATTTCGGAGGAAAATACATTTTTTACAAACGGTGGAAGGATGGCAAATCGAAGCTCTCGCCGGTTAATAGGCAAGCGATTAACTTACACAAACGTAAGACGTGCTACTGTCGTTTATTTTATGGTAGCATAGTTTGCGCAAGATAATCAGAGCCTAAACTTCTAGTTGATGGTCTGAGGGGATGAGTCTCTCTCTCTCTCAATCGCGCTGTAGGTGCGTAGAATTTCAAAACGGACAACAAAAAGTGACTTTTCATATTCTTCAGTGCCATTGAAAAATATTTGTTACGAGCAAATAACTTGAATGTGTGGACTCACTTTGGATCTTATGTTGCGAGCTTCCTCTGTGTCCTAAAAGGACATAGAAATGTATACAATTATAATAAGATGTATGGTAATTTTTTCCCACTGGCTATGTCCACACCAGCATGCTATTCGGTGCCCTGATATGCAAAATCATGCAAGCACCGACATATTCCCGCTTACCTGAGGACCACCTGGGTGGGGAAGGGGGTGGGGTTGAAAGGTAAAATAACATCATGAGCATTACCATAAACGGAAGACAGGTTCATGCGCAAAAATGTCGTAGGAACGGCACTTAAGAAGTACTCCTTGTGAGTCTTCAGATTGGAGGTGCGGTTGTCAGCCAGTCATACCCAGACCCAAATGATGTTCCAACCGATTCTCGAACTGGCGACCTCTCTGATCAGTGTCAAACGCCCTAACCATTGGGCCACGAGCTCGGTGTCTGGCCGGTTCAGGCCGGGGAATACTGAAACTCTGCGACTCATGTTATTCGACATGCTTTAAAGGCCTTCGAGAACCCCCAGACCATGTCAGTATGGCTTCCCGTGGCCACACAGTCAACATCGATGAGGCCTCATCGATGAACTCTGAGTTGCTTGAGTCCTGGTTTCCAGCATTTACAATGTGCAATGACCTGCCCAACCCGTATGCAGTGCTGAGGCTCAGTTTGGCCAAAGCCATCCTTCATATGGGGAGTGCATACGCTAACGCGTCTCCTAATACCAGTGCCATGGAGCCAGATGGCCGATCAATAATCAAACCCCAGTCCACCACGAGTGATGAAAGTTCAGCAAGTCACGTTCCGCACGTCAACCATCAAGCAGTTAGCGCATTAGCGGACAGCTATTCTCCAGATGGGGAGGGGGAGGCATTAACTGTCGTAAGTGGGCAGTAGAATAGCGACTGTATCCTCTAAATATTTTTAGTACTTTGGGTGTACGAATTACCCATTTCTGCTACCGTTTCTGATGATAGGGTCGCGACGGAATACGAAGCGTGAGGCGAATAAAGTTCTTGTTCCGGCTATCCCATTTCCTTCTTCCCAATTATTTTCCGATATTCAAAATTTCGCTTGTATTGGCTATTACACGGTTATTCCACAGCCGCAGTGTGTCTTGTTGGGTGGAGTGGCTGCCTGCGGGCTGATAGTCAGGCTCAACGGCTCCTTCGTAATGTGGCCTTTATGGCGCTACTTAGCGAGGTGTGCTGTTGGTACGCGTGCTGAGTGTTATTCGCGCAAGGCGCCTGCATCCTCCCCCATCTCCGGCATTCTTGGCTTTTGCCTTGACACCGGGTCCCGGTGTGGGAGTGGTGAGAGAGCAAAGTAGCTTCTGCGCAAGTCTACTTTCACTATAATCCCGCGGGAGTCACCGCGTTGCTTCAGCCTGCTGAAGCTCGTGGTGGACATTGTCGAGAGCGATGTTCCAACTGTTGCTGTTTTCTCATTTACTCTGACGATAGTTTCTCTTGTGGAGCAGAAAGCTCAGAATAAAACTACCCTTGCAGAGATCACGTCTACCTCTTCTTTACAACAAGAACCTGGGGCACGCATATTCGCTTCTATACGGTCGAACTGTCGGTTATCTATTCTTTTTTACTTTAATTTAATTTTTAGTGGATAATTTAATTTTTAGTATAGTCTACCTTATTAATTGGCTTA